TTGGAGCCATAGATGGCGTTTGCTTAAGGCAGGTGTTTGCCCCCGAGGGACTTTGCCCCTGAGTGACCATGAGCTAAAGTTTCAGTTAAAACCATATAATCTTCTGACCAGCCGGTTCTTCAGAGCCCAGGGCCAAACATTCCATGCATGCTGTGGGCCCAGGTGTGACTCATCACCACTGTTTGTGGTCAAGCTATGGACCAAGGATATTTTTCTGTAAAGGTCAACCAATCATATTTGCCCACCTTAGCTTGCTCTAAATGTTAACCAATCATGTAATTTCTTATGTAAAAGTTCCTTAAAGTTGTTTGTTCAATACTGTAAAAACTCTGCTGATTCTGTGCTCAGGGCCTCTTAGTGTCACCGGTTGCGGAGTGCGCGGAGGACCAAGCTTGAGCTTGCAATAAACGACTCTTTGCTGTTTGCATTGGTCGTGGTCTCTGTTGGTCTGTGAGGGGGCATCCGAAAACGGGGTACTTCACCAATTAATAAACATATAAACATAGAGTGGGAACCAGCCGGAAAACAGAATGGAAATGCATATCTGGAGAGAGAGGAGCTATCGAGTACATGTCAAGGGCTCTCTAGAAAACAAAGAAGCAACACTTTATATGTTTCTTTTTGCAACACTATCATTTCAAGGCAGCTCTGTAGAATGGTCTTCATGGTTATAAGATGTAGGTTTTGGGCAAGTTTTGTTCTTTCCCAGGAGTTTAGCTTGCTTCACTTTAGGATGACAAATTTGGAGGTAACTGATTTTCAAAATGTATATGAGTGCCAAATAAATTTCAATGTGAAGAGGGAAATGAAATTCAAAATTTAACTGACAATAGACGCTTAAGGGAGCTTTCCTAGCCTGTAATGAGGCTCGCATAAAACTAGCTCACTGATGAGCGGTTTCTCTGGGTCACTATTATCCATCCTGGCTGCACTGAAGGCTCACTGGGAAGAATTTCTAAGTACAGGAATGATGACTTTATTCTGTTCAACTAATCAAAATATCTGGGGCTGGGATTAGGTATCAGTATTAGTCAAGTAGGGCTCCATGCAATTTCTACATAAACAGGATTAAGAATCACAGACCTATATAATTAGAAAGAATACTAAAGATAAATCTTATAACAGATGTGAACAATGATGTTAGTGCCAGTGAAAAGTTTTGGCACAAGTTTATAGGAGAAAAAGAGGTAAAGGGACAAATGAGAAAATGAGAGAGCAGAGCTGGGGCCCGTGGCTCATGTCTGCAGTTCAAGCTACTCAGGATGCTAAGATCAGAGGATGTAGGTTCAAAGCCAACTGAGGTAGAAAACATCCCTGAGATTCCATGCTCAATTATTCATGTAGGAAGGGCCCTTGTGTGCTAGGATGACATAGTAGAAGACCAAGTAAGCACACATGACACAGAGAAAAAATATTAGGCCAAACTCCCTCATGGAGCAGCTCAATCACAAATAACTAGGCCACTCTTGCAAAAACAACATGAATCCATTCATGAAGACATGATCCTTAAGCTATATAAAATACTAAAACCTGGTTGAAGAGCATATGCAATATCTATTTATTTATTTTTACAGGTCCTGGGGCTTGAATTCAGGGACTGGGCACTGTCCAGGAGCTTCTTTTGCTCAAGGCTGGAGGTCTACCATTTGAGCCCCAGCTCCACTTCAGGCCTTTTCTGAGCAGTTTATTGGAGATAAGAGTCTCACAGACTTTTTCTGCCCCGGCTGGCTTCAAATCACAATTCTCAGCTACCTGAGTAGCTAGAATTATAGGCTTGAGCCAATGGAGCCTGGCTATAATTATTCTATTGTAGTATTTTTACAACTACATTTAGAAGTATAAATTATTTTGAACTCAAAAGGCTGAACATAGGCTAGAGAGTAGCTTCGTGTAAGTGCTTATCTGCAAAAAAAAGTAATTTTTGCAACATGGCTTGGGTTCATTTAGTTAACAATCTGACCCTAATATATACACAAACAAATAAACAAATGAAATCCAACTTCAGTTCAATCCCTCTCTTTTTCCAGCCATCTTCTTTGCACTGGAAATCACCCAGTGTCCTTCCTCTCCCTGGGCCCATGCTGTTGAAAAGGATGTGAGTTAACATTTTTATTTATATATCTTTGATTTTTTTTTTTTTGTCAGTCGTGGGGCTTGAACTCTGGGCCTGGGCACTGTCCCTCAGCTCTTCAGCTCAAGGCGAGCGCTCTACCACTTGAGCTCCAGAGCCACTTCCGGTTTTCTGGTGGTTTATTGGAGATAGGAGTCTCACGGTCTCTCCTGCCCGGGCTGGCTTTGAACCGCGATCCTCAGATCTCAGCCTCCTGAGTAGCTAGGATTACAGGCGTGAGCCACCAGCGCCCGGCAACATTTTTATTTATAAATGAATGTATAAGAATCCTTTTTGGTCGTTTGATAACTCATAGAGCAAAAATCCCTTAAATGGGACACATTGTACCATAGGCAATCAGAGAACAACCACGTTTTGATTTGACTAAAAAATGTATTGCTTGATTAAAGTAGTATTTTCCCTTGCTCAGTAGATGTAACCATTTGAATAAAATATGGCCAGGGAGCCAATCAGTGTGGAAACATTTATAACATCACAAATAACCTTCCTTTTTCATTTAGTGTTAGAAGCTGCAAATATTTGCCTTCAGTACTTATTTTCATTGAGCACACGCTAGTATTGGCTTGTAAAGGTCATTTGTGAAGGGGTATGGATACTTTTTACTCCCGTGAGAACCACAGAATCCACTCTACAAAGAGTGGCCGCTCCTCCTACATCTGGCTGTGTTTCAGGCATACAGAGATGCTGCACAGGGTGTTGGGTAGCCTGACCATTGGTTCAGTTATGCAATGAAATCTGTATTCAAAGTGGATGCTAATCATGTTGTCAACTTGGGGCCTTCACACACACACACACACACACACACACAGGTAATAAGAATTTGGTTTTATTCAAATATAGTGAATTGAAGAGATGTTTACCATTGAAAAGAAAGTATTATTCACAGTTCCCAAGAAAATGGAGCATGCTGCCCCACCCAGGTGTACAGGAGAGAATACTGAGCTGGGTTATGGGTAGAGTGAGTGGAGAAGCAAGGAAGTGTTCCTGAAGGCTCAGAGGAAGGACCAGGAGAGACAAATTAAGAGGGCTGGGCCAGGTTAGGATTGGCTAATTTAAATAATTGTTACAAGCTCTGGAATGAAGAGCTTGGCCCTAGCTCTCTGATGCTTCACTCTCAGAAAATGAAGCTAGTTGTTGTATGTGTTTAGGACTGGTTAGTTTATACCGTTGCCTGAAAGGCAGGCTGCTGGGGCACTTGTTTTCTATCTTTCGAAATTCACTAGTCTTGATGCTAAGGCTTCCATGTCAAAACATTAGAAAACATGGTGAGTAAGTAGTCAGTTGGCAACCCTGCATTCTCTCCGTTTACTCATTTGCAGACAAGGTAATTTGTGCATAGCTGGAGAGTTCTAGTCTCTAAAATTCTCCCCAGATAATGAAGATTTCCCATCAACAGATGTTCATCAGGTTAAAGACTTCTCTCCAGGCTTCTTTAAAGTTGGAAAGTTTAACTTGCAAAGTTTAACTCATCTAGGCTAATACCTTGAGAGCTGGAAATATATCTCAAAGTTTATGTACTTATCTAGCATGTGTGAACTGAACTGAGTTCAATTCCCAGTACTACTGGAACTTGGGGCTGTGGTGTGTTAATACATTGAATGAATTGTTTGAGTGTAACTACTGTCTAGTTTTCTCTGAGAGCTACACAAAGATTGGACTGGATAGAAGAAGCCACTCCATTTGTTGGAGAAAAGACCTAGAATGCTAGAGTCACATTTGGTCCTTTCATTTGGTTTGCTTATCCTTAATCATGAACAACTCTCTGAAAATGTATTGCAAAGTATTTCATGGTTTTGTTTCACCTGGGGAAAGGGGAACATTAATGTTTAAATTGGTGAATGGTCAGTACAGGTTCTGTTCTACCTTATATTATGCAGGTTGTGAATGATCAAAGTTCCTGAACTTAGATCCAAAATTTGAAATGAAAAAAAATATGCATATAAGTGAAAGAAATGTACAAGGAGTAATTATAGAGTTAATGAAGTGAAAACCAAAAATGAATTAGTAGTAAATAAGAGATACATTATCCAATAAAGCATCACTTTAGAAGTAGGCCTGGTATTACTTTGTCTCATGGAAATAGCTGTATGTATGTTTTAGAGGTTCTTTTGTCCACTTGGAGTTTATGTACAAATTTGCAATGAGAGAAATGTGATCAATGTGTACATATTGGGAGTATGACAGGCTCTGGAAACTGAACTATTTCCCTGGTGATCCATCGGGTCTTGATTATATTACTCACACACAAAAACACTAGCCTGTCAGTGTGCATTCTGATATGCAGGAGAGAGGTGAGAAGAAATCATATGAAAACATTCTACCTTTGAAAATTGTATAGTTAGTATGTATTTATGCTATTTATGTACAACCTAGTTCTCTACATGTTATGTTTTGCTCATTCTTTCTACTCTCTCTCCTCTCCATCCAACTTTTTCTTGTTCTTTTTTATGCTGCTTGCATTTTAAAAATAGAGAACAAAGGAGACTTTCTCTTGTTTGTTTTTCTTTTATATGCAAGTTCTAACTCTAATTTGGGTGTTCTCATAATGTATGGGTTTTTTAAATGATGTTACTTTGTTCCCTTAATTTTTAAGTGCTAAAGGGAAACAATAAGAACAGCTCAGCTATTTTAGGATATACATAACTTCCAATTATCTATGAAAACCCTTTGAGTGCTGGAGGCATTGGTATGCAAGCGCATAGACTTGGGACTATTCGGTTTCCAAAATCCCTTAATAGCATCGAGTCCTGAGACAACAAACATCCTTTGCTCTGGAAACAGGCTCAGAACAGAACTGAAAGAACAAGGCAGGCTGGTTGAAGTCTTGGAGGTAAGCCCATCATTTGCTTAACAAAGCAAGGCTTCAAACCACCTCTCCAGGCACTTTCATCTGGAAACTGGGTTTGGAAGTACTAGAAATGAGCTTTGTCCCCTGAGTTTCATCACTTCCTGTTTTCCGACGAGTGTAAAGAATGGATTCTTTGGTACCCAATCCCCTCTCCGGTGGCGGCCTGCTATTCACATTTTCAGTCAGGTCTGAAACTGGAGGTGTGCTTAAATAGTGAAGGCTTGTACACATTTCCGCTTTTTGTTTTTTCCAGTTGAGAATTCAGATTCTTTTCCCAGAGCAAGGTGAAGCTGCTTTTCAGCTCAGCTTAATAAAAGCTGAAGCAAAAGAAGCAAAAGCTGAAGCAAAAGGAAGAGTTTTTCCTAATGAAACAGATCATTGGAAGAACGTTCCCTGATCGGTGTTTTATTTTAGTTTTCCTCTTGGGCTGTGGGTTTGAAAGCCAAGGGTAGAGACAGGAGTGCTTGTTAGCTGTCCGGTTACTGTTAAGTCAAACAATCCAATGTGACTGCGTGGCCTCCTGCTCATCATCTTCTTGTGTGTGTGTGTGTGTGTGTGTGTGTGTGTGTGTACGCGCGCGCGTGCGTGTGCAACCGATGAGAACTTTACCTTGGCTTACATCTGTACAGCTAGAAGTTTGAATGCAAGGTGAACCATCAACATGGCCTTCATTTCTTCTGACATGGTAATAAGAAAAAATAAGCTAAAAGAAACTACAAAACAATCCTCACAGGCAAGTACTGTTTTTGCCTCCAACTATATATAACAGTAAAACATCACTTATTGATCTGACATCATTACATCAACTCCTAAAGCATATAACCACAAATGCACATTTTTCTTTTGATCAGAGAGATCAACCCTTTCTTCTTTTTTTTAACTTAAAAATTTTGTTTTATTGTAAAGACACTGTACCAAGGGGTTACAGTTACATGAGTAAGGTAATGAATACATTTCCTATTGAGCATTGTTACCCCCTCCTTTGTTTTTCCCCTACCATCCCTTCCCTCTCCACCTCCCCAAATTCTCTCTCCCCCTATGTCTAAACTGTAAAGTTTGTTTTCAACAGTGTCTTGTATATCTCATTGTTACAGTGGGTCAACCTGTATTTTTATTTCAGCACTTTGTTATTTCCCTTCCCCTCCCCAAATTAGAAAAATGTATATACAAGATGCAGGGCACCCAAATCTTCTTTAGTGACTCTTTCTCATGTGAAAGATGTTTGTGGATAAGCTAAACACATTCACTAATGTTCTGAGCAAGCTTATGTCAGAACACTTAGTTTCCCTTAAAAGTACAGAGAAACAGCAATCTTTCATCATTGAAAAACTTTAATAATTCGAGTTCTTTTCACAACCAGTAGAAACAAGAATCTAAAGAGTGGGTCTGAAAGTAGAAAGCCATGGGAATTATGAAGTCTGTCTGATTAAGTTTACTGGGCAGGTAGAAACATAAATATATAGCCAATAGCATTTTATTAAATGTTTTCTAGGATGATACTTAAGTAAAAGACAAATTTTGTATTTTTGGAGACTTACTTTCTAGCCACTCATATATGATACAGGACGTGAAAATAAAGCTTCCTTTGTTATTAATTTTGAGAAGCAAATGAATGTTGAAGTGGACCTGCTCATTCTGTGTGCATTTCTCACACACTGACTACTGGCATTTTCCATCCCGATCTTCAAACATACTTAAGGTTTGTATGCTCTTGTATTGATCTGGTAAGACTGAAAGACGTTAGGCTTTTATTTTAACTGAGAAAATGGTGATAGAGAAAAAAAATTCAGACTAAACAGAACAAAAATACATTCCATGTGATATCCTTCGAGAAAACCAGAACCATATACTACATTAGGAATGTATAAATAATAACTAACTCAAATCTATTATAAGGGGAAAGAATTGAATATCTGCATCATTTTCTATAAGGCACTTTCAAGCCTCCTAAATACTTGCAAAACCCTATAATATCTGGAGGAGAGCCGATAATGAAAAAAACTCAAATTCGAATCTTACCAATAATAAGAATAAAGATTCTAAACTCCCCTCTGAATTCATTGAAGCATAGTGTAAGTTCCAGTGGATAAAGGAACCAGGACTCAAGAAGTATCTCAATTCTTTTGTGAGGATCCTTTTTAATGAGAAGAATCATTGACAATGAAAATTGAACAATAAGTGGTATTGGTTGAATAACTGCATACTGAAATCAAGTGTGTGTGTGTGTATGTGTGTGTGTGTGTGTTTAAATCTACTGTGGCATAGAAATATGTTTTGTCTACATCTGGTTAGAGGACAAAATAAAATTAAATTGTGTCTATAGTTTATTTTCTTAATACAGCAATATTTTTACCTTTTTTTTGTTTTCTACTCTAATAATTGACCTGAATATTCTTTGATAATCTTTCCCTCTCTCCCTCCCTCCTTCTCTTCTTCCCTCTCTCCTTTCCTCCTTACCCTTTCTCTATCTTTTCTTCTTGTGCTAGAAATCAACCCTTGTCCTTGAATATGCTGAGCAATTGCTCTACCATTGAACTGCATATCCATATATTTTCATAGAAATACCTATATTATAATCATGTGTTTGTGTATATGAATGGAAATATTTTTTTCCTCCTCTATTTTTACCCTTTTTTGCTTACTGTACCACTAGTATGATTTGAATTAAAATGGGACTGGTAAATATCCTGGTCTCATTTCTGATGGTCAGAAGCAAGCTTTCAATATATTACCAGGGAGTGTGACAAGCCACTGTATGTGTTTTAAGTCCTTTATCAGAATTAGGAAAATTCCTTGTATTCTTAGTTGCAGAGACTATTTATCATGAACCAATATTATATATAATAAAAGACAAAGGATTTTATTAAATACTTTTTGGCCTGGGTCTTAGAAAGCTAATTTTATAAGAAGTACAGTATTCATAGCAAGTTATCCTCGGTAACAACAGTCTTCTGAATCTTATTTGTTAATATCCCATTTCATTGTGATATTATTTAGCCTTCTTTCAAAAAAAAAAAAGAGGAGAGGAGAGGAGAATGCATTCTACCTCAAGTGTGAGGAACTTTGGCTTTCCACAATGAAAGGCATAGGCCAAAGAAGGGGTCAGTACAAGTCTGTTTCTTGGACATAGCTATTTAAAACCAAGCAACACACATTCATTCCCGTCATTGGATCCACTGGACTTCAGAGTGCACAGTACAGGCCTAAATTCCACATCAGATTACCATGCCAGTCCTCTTGAGCTAGAGACCTATAAACCAAAAAAAAAAAGTCAAATTATCTCTCCCATTTAGGTTCAAAGTGAAAGTGTAAATGGATCAACCACAATAAATTATCTCATTAAATGAAGGGCGAAGAGAAGCATAAGTAGTCTGTCATAATCCTGAAATTCCACTGAAAAAATTCTATCTTTCTCTGTACACAGATAGAAAAAATATATGCATGTCTAGGGAATTCTGTGTGTGTGTGTGTGTATGTGTGTGTGTGTGTATCTGTGGTTGTAGAGAAAATACTTGACTATAGATTGAAGTTTATTAATGCTTACAGGATAATTTAGGAAATTAGTATAGCTTGTGTCAGATTTAGTATTTGTATTTTTCTAGAAATCTTATATTTTATGTAAAATTTCAAATTTATGAGCAAACTCATATATTCCTATTGGTGTTTTGATGCCTGTAGGATGTCTAGCTATATTTGCTATATCAATGGATGTATTCTATCTTCTCTATCTCTGTCCTTCTTTGTGCTTACACTTCGTTACCTCCAGCTGGTTGCCCATCTCTTTTCTTCCTGTTAGGAGTTGTTTAAAGGGCACAATGGTTTCAACAAGTGTTTTATATTCAAGCTGATATATTCTGGCATAAATTTTGTGCTAAGGCAATATTTTGGAATGAATGGTCTTCATTTGTCTTTGTGTTCATATCTTTTTTCTTCTCTTTTCATATCCTTTTCCAAACAATTTTCTTCTGGCTTCATTTTGATCACTTGTGTCTCAAAGGGTTAAGATTCACTCTGTTCATGATTGAGAGGTTGGGCCCTAAGTGACATTCCAAATTCAGAGGCAATTTTCCTTATGCCAGGGGGCTTGATAAGTTAAGTTTTCCTTTACTCTTACAAAGCATTATGTTGCCACTAATACAGCTGACCTGTATGATTCCACATTTACTTTTATTTCTGTTAGAACCAAACAGAGATAACTGAAGCTTGTTAGCTACTTTGGTATCAAAGTAGCTAACAAGATGGTATTAAGATGGAGTCTACAACTGAGAGCAGTGGTTCATGCCTGTAATCCTAGCTACTTACAAGGTGAACTCATAGGAATGATGGCTCTAGGCCAATCAGGGCAAAAATGTTTATGGACCTCCACCCCCACCAATGAAAAGCTGGATGTGGTGGTACTTGCCTGTCCTTACAAACTGGAGGAGAAAATAGAACTACTAAGGTTCTGGTTGGTTCAGGTATAACATGACCCTGTCTCAGAAAATATCCAAAGAAAATAGGGCTTGGTTTATTTATATGCATCAAGTGGCAGAGCATCTGCCTAGTAAGCCCAAGGTCCTAAATTCAAAGCTCAGTGCTGACAAAAACTAATAATATTAGTAATAACATGGACTCCAGAGGCACAGGTCTTGATGTTTTACCTACAAAGACTGGATTTTTGTTTGACTCTCTCATAATAGCAGTATGGGGCTTTTGGTACTTTCTCTACGCTTTATGTATTGGGTATTTGAGAAGATTATTTTCATTTATAATATTTTAATGACTTTTTTCTTGATGGTTTTGTGGTAATTAGAGTTTTTTTTCCAAAAAAGGTATATGCTGATTTTATAGAATCAGTCAACATCAATCAAAAGTCATGATCCAGCTTTGATTTGGATTGAAGTGACTTCCTGTTAGTGTTCTTAAGATCAAATCCTTTTCACAGTTCTCTGCAAGTAATTGTGGTCCATGGGTAAGTAATTGGAAACACCTTGGGTGAGATTTTGATATTTTTGAAATTTATAAACAAATCCTGATTAGGAAAATATGTCACTGAATAGTATTGAGCTGACGTAGAGAATCTAAAGAACTAATTTTGGCAGTCAGACTAGATTTCCTGGGTTATTATCCCACTTCTTTTTCCTTAAAAAAGTATTTATTTATTTATTTATTTATTTATTATTAGGTAGTTTTGCCAAGGATCTCAATTCCAGAAGTCAGGTTAGGAGCACAATGCATCTTGGGTAATGTCA